AAAATACAGATACAGATAAGGTATTGTTTTCTCAGTACAGAAAAAAATATAGCCAGATTGAGATCACTTCCAACCAACCATGTTGTTAAACTAAAAGCAAATTACCTTTATTCCTTTGTAATGAGGTTTGACTGTTGGCACAGAAGTTAGAAAACCACCAGTTTGAATTTGTAGAAGCTGAAAATGTACTTTATTACGAGTCACGGATGTTCTGCAACCTGAGGTCTCTTTTTCTGCCTGTGAGTTGTGGACAGCGGGGTGAGGGGCAGGCTGGCCAGTTGGCTTTAGTCTGGTGGTCTGTGGGAGACCAGCCTCGACCCTGCTGCGTGCTCCACCAGCTGGATTATTGAGCCTTAACCGTGCAGGACTGGGTGTCTGTGAGGTGTGCGTCTGTGTCGGCGTGCTCTGCAGGTGCCTGTGGTGTGGATGGAGGCTGGAGAAAGGAAAAATGCATGCTGAGAAGGTGCATGTGAGAGCCTTGCAAGGGGCGATAGCTCCAGTGACTCGCAGGGCTGTTACATCTGCGAACAATGATAAGCCTGGGGCAGCAACGCTCCGTGGAACCTGTGCAAGGTCCCTGGCACTGACTGTGAGGCGCAGGCGGCATCCGCCTGTGCTGCTGGGCAGACGGGAAGGGTGCAGGGTTACGTCCGCACCCGACGAAGGCGAGCAGTGGCTGCGGGACTTCCCGAACCCCCAGCCGGAAGCCACCGCGCTGCAACCCTGCACTTCCAAGAGAATGGCCGGGGTTGGCCTCCCAGCTACTGCTCCAGCCGGCAGCCGAGAGGGAGTGTGTGAGTGAGTAAGTGGGCGGTGTGAACAGGTACCTGCTACTAACACTGTCATACTGACACCATCGGTGGCACTAAAGGCTAAAAGGTGTCCTCAGAAATAGTGGTTGTAATCTGTCTGTCCCTCTGCACTCGGCATGTTCAGTAAAAGGGTCAGTAATTAAAATAAATGAAGAAAAATCACCTGCCCTCTAATGCAGCACGGCATTCCCGCTTTCACAGCTCTGCACCTCTCTCAGTGGTCTGAGGCCACCCAGCTGGAGCAGCCACGGGATCTCCATCAATCCCTCAAGCTGCGTGGTTAATACTAATAAATCTGCTATTTACTACAGCAACTTTGAGGGGATTCTTCGTTCTTAAAGGCAGCAGTGTGAACATTCACCAAAAATAAAAGCAAGTGTTTTCCTCTGGAAGGTTGAACAGCTGAAAGAGGAGATCTGTGAGTATCAGAAGAGCGAGAAGCAAGGACTTCCGTTGCCCACGCCAACTGACACTGAAGAAGTCGCAGTGTCCTTGCTGCAGGTATTTTCAAGGGCTTTAGTTTGCCGTTCTCGAGCAAACAGCCTCTCCTCTGCATTTCAGCCCCGTGTCATACGTGAAGACGCACGGCTTGTAGTGCAGAAATGCTTGTGCTTTCCTTTTCCGTGTGCATGAGTGCATCCTGTGCAGGTGGGACGTAGGATTATGCTAACGTCTGTTGGCATAAGTGGATGTAGATGATGCAGGTCATGTGTTCTGGTTGTCTTGTTTATCTGTCAGACTTGGATAGCTTTGGAAGTACATTGTGCTAAGATTTCAGTCTTAGTTATGTGCTAACTTTCTGTTTTCTCTTGAGACACAGGGTGCAAAGGATGATGGGAGGATTGAAGGAGACTCTGTTTCAGGCAAAGCTGGCTCAGATCAGGAAGACAGATACCAGGGTAGCGAAACGCTTCATAAAAGGTAAGCAGTGTAGAAATACTTCATTTGTTGAATTTTCACAGTGGCTTATCTGGTGCTCTGGCTGCTGGGATTCTGTCTTGCAGGGTGGACTTAGGTATTGGATTCTTTACAATACTCTTTGGTACTGACTGTGTGCCTCTGCTCCCAAATCAGGAGGTAACGCAGTCCCGAGTGGGACTGTAGTCCGTGGTATCAAGAACACGGGCTGTTTTCTTACACTTTCTCTAGTTTGTTGCTTTCTGAAAGAATAGGGTTGGGTTTCTGTGGTTCTCTGCAGACAAAAGTGTTGCTTTCAGAACTGTTTTGCTGCTGGGAAGATTTCTCTGGATTTGGTTGGTGTCCAGGGCTGTACCAAAACACTTGGCTTGCAAACTTAAATATGTAAACTGGGATTTTTAAGGGAAGTCAAAGCTTTGATCTCCTCTGGCCTGCTCAGGAAGCTGCTGTACCTCTTCTGGCAGGTTCAAAGGGGAAGAGGGGTCTGATGCCATCCCTCTGACTCTTTTTCCCTTCAGATGCCCAAGCCTGTCCTTCATCTCAAGCAGTTGAACCTGCCATTGCCTCTCTGCTGCTAGCACCCCCTGCCTGACCACTTTCCTCCCCAGACCTTCATTATTGCTTGTGTAGAGCCTGTCACCACTAATTCCCATGAATTGCCACCTAAATAAGAGCAGGCACAGGTCATGCTGGATGTGAGACTCTAAATGAGCTGGACAGAAGCATTCTGTAGCGGAAAAAAACCATTGGATTTTCCTCACCAGGGCTAAGCGGTTTGGATGTGTGTCAGCGCGTTTACGCAGCCATTCTAGTCTTGCTGACATTGGTCTTTGGTGCCTAGGTGCCGAGAGGTGATTGAAAACATTGAGGGCAGGAATTCACAGCTCCTTCACAAGCTGCAAAAACTGGAGCAGGACCATGAGGATTTGGTAGAGCGCAATGAAAAGCTGGAATCAATTCTGGGAGAGACACAGATCCAGACCAAGCAGGAGAAGGAACAGTTTGAGTATGAGGTGGAGGGACTTCACCGGAAAGTAAGTAAGGAATAGAAGAAATACGGTTTGGATTTGGTTAGCTGCTTTTCTCTCTGCGTATTGATTAGCAACACAAATGATGTTTGATCTAAACCTGCATGCTGCCTTGTTTAGTCTAACGAGAAATGCAACTAGCAAAATCTGCTGGTTTCAGAAAAGAGGGGAAAAGAAGGAAAAAATTCCAGCAGTGAGTAAATGACTCTTGCTTGGAGATGGAGATTCCCCAGTGTCATACCAGCATTGTCTTTTTCCAGCTCCTGTCCCCATTTCCTGGTGCTGGGGCAAGCAGGGTTAACTTGCTAACGTACCCCTGTGTCCACTGGAGAGACATGAGGCAACGCTCCCTTTCCACACAGCCTTTCTGTCGGTGTGAGCTCTGTGCCCTTCGGTATCTTGGCTGAGCTGAAGCAAAGCCTTTTTGTCTCAAATCTGTCGTATCTTTTTTGCTTTGAAGCTATTTCTTGTGAAACATTTGTAGCTTAGAAGCTCTGATTTCCCCTGAGAGGCTGTCCTAGGTGGTATAGGTACTCCTGATGGATATCAGCATTGGTCTCCTGCAGGAACTGCTTTTCCATGTTCTTCTGCCTGAGGTTCAAGTTCCAGGAAGCCCCAAGTCCTCTTGAGGCTCAGAAGAAAGGCAAAAGTTTTTCCTGAAGCCCAGGAGTTTCCCTTAACCTGGCACCCATGTTGGAAGTCCAGGCTTTGACTTGAATTCCTAACCCCTCTCCAGACCTGTCCAGCATGAAAACGACAGTGTGAGACTGGTGCTCCGTGATCCAGGAAGGGTCGCCAGTTAAGCATGCTGGTGACAAAAGCCTGTGCCCTCTCCCAGGCACAGCATCTTGGAGATCTGTCAGCCCGTGTGACAAACACCGAGGCGCTTTGGGGCGTGGGGGCTGGGATCTGCGCTGCTGTGGGACATCCCTGCTGAAAATACCAACTTGGGGGGGACAGCGAGTGTCTCTCATCACCTGCTGTCTCTTGTGGCAGCATCTGCTGTTGAATGGCAGACGTGGCGGGACACATCCTCTGGAAGAGCTGTGAGAACGTGGTATGTCTGGAGAAGCGCTGCTCAATCCTCATCAAGATGTGATCTCACCAGTCTCTTCCTAACCCATGTCCTACTCCATTTTGGGCACCCTCAGCCCACGGCAATCTGGATCTTTTCCTGTTAATAGGACAAGACCGTTAAGATCATCCTTTGACATTAGGAGGTTGATAGCCTTTGTTATTCCCGCTCTTTTGCATGTGACAGAGAACGTCTGAGAAATTGCAGGCGTGAAGCACCATGTTGCTTCTCTGGTTTATCAGAACCACGGCAACGTTACAGGTCTCCCTGTGACACCTGCAGAGCCATCGCCATCTGCCTTTGAAGCAAAGGTTAAGGTACTGCTGAAGCTTCCCAGCCTGATGCTGCCTTTGTCGGAGTGGTCTTCAGCCTCGATTTGCCGGATGGACTCTCCAACCCCCTGGAGCTTGCTCTGTGCTTACGAACTGGTTTGTCACTGCTGGCCCCAAGGAAAATACCGTTTGCAGCATTGGTGCAGCATCGCTGCCGGGACACGTGATCCCTTACGGACAGGGCAGCTGGAGAATTTATAGCCAGAGAGAAGAGTGGAAGCCAGAAGTTGGTCTTGCCAGATGGGTAGGTTGGCTTCTCCCCAAAAAGGCTGGCTGAGGAGGTCTTTTCCTTTGGCTGAAGCCCTGCTGCCTGGCCAAAAGCTCTTCCCTCCGTGGGCTGAGTTGCCCTCTCCCCTCTGTCTGCGGTTGAGACGCTCTCTGCCGCGATCGTGGTCTGGATTGCCCAGCAGTAGGACCTGTCCATAGTGTCCCTAGAGGACCTTGGGTTTCTGGGGTGAGAAGGGAGGGCACCCATGGGTTTTCAGTCCATGAGCGGTGCTTGGACATGTCTGTGCGTGTGCTGCTGTTAAAACACGACGTAGGAGAGAGTACGTGTGTGAAGTCATATCCCGTGTGAACGATGAAGTAGCTGCACGTCTCCACGATGAATTGTCCAAAGGAAGAAAAGATGAATTACTTGTCAGTAGCCTCTGGTTGTGTGGGAAAAGTCTGTAAATACAGTGAAAAAGACTGAAGGCATGTTCGAATATCGTAAAGAAGGATGCCAGCGGATGCCACGTTTCTAAGTGCGCAGCTGAGGAGCCAAGGGCAGGCCTTGTGGTGGGAATGGCAAGAGGTCTGTCCGCCATGACCGTGCTTTTGTTTAAATCCGGGTTTGTTCAGCACACGCTAAAGCGTTTCCCACTTTCTCACTGAAGCAGAATAAACACAACCCTCCACAAATCAAACAGGATGCATTTTCAGTTTGGAGAAATCCCTTCTTTGCTCGGTGCATTGTTAAATGGATCCCTGGGAACGCCGCTCTGGGGGGCCGCAGCAGGGGAGCACCGAGTAGCCAAGGAGATGCCAGGCATTTTGGCTGGCATGAGCTTGGCAGTCGCTGTAGCTGAAAATGAGACAGAAATGAGGCGTGCAGGGCAGCGGAGGAGAGACAGGCTGGTTGCGTGATGGACGAGGAGGTGGGTTAACCCTTGGTTAGATCCAGCATCTGCTCAGAGGGAGGGCTGCAGCACTGCGCCCTTCACCTCCAAGGGGCTTTTGGGAGGTAACGAGGGAAGGATGGCATGAAGGCAGGTGCCCTGTACCCTGGAGAAAGCTGTGCTGTGGGGTGTTTGCCAGCCTGCCCCGTGTGAGAAGGACTTGGAAGTCTTTTCTGTTTTGGCACGCCTACAGAAATCTTGGCTGATTAGGCCGCTGACTCAAACGAGGACACCAGGATACAATGTGAGTATTGTTCTGCCCTTGGCACAGGATTTACAAGCGCAACTTAAACACTTAAAAGGTAGAGGTTTGAAGGAAAAAATAAGAAAAATGATCCCTTCCAGTACTCCAAAGTCTCGTTGAACCCCAGACTGTCATCTAGTCATGCAAGAGGAGGGGAGTTTATTGCCCTCTAGCTCTGCTGTAAGAGGCCTGGGTGTCTCACCCCACCAATTTGCTTTTAACACCTAGGTCGGGTAACACCATCTGTCTTAAAAACCAGGATCACAGCAACTTTCCTCTGTTAGAGATCATTTCATGCCGGGAGATTCAGCAGGGCCATCCTGAGCCTGAAGCCTGTGGGTGAAAGCAAAGCTCCTGGGCTTTGACGTGCTGCTTTGTAACCACTTTTAATGGACTGGGATTGGCAGAGACTTGGCACTTCTTTGGCTTCCCATTGGAAAGGAATGAAAAATGATCTCTGAATAAGTGCAAAGAAAGGAGGGTGAGAAAGGCATAAGGCATCTTGTACCCTTCACCAGACACTCATCTGTATGAGCGGAGCGATGGATGTTGCTTGCATGAGTACAGTGTATGCTGTGTACAGATGAAGCTGGATTTCATCTGCAGCTGGATTTCATCTCGCTCAGCGTCCTGGTTCAGTGAAAGCCTGGCCTGGGCAGTGGGGAGGCCAGCTTGGGAGTTTAGATATAAGAAAACCAGCATAAACTTTCTTCCAAGCGTAAGGAGCAGAAAGGAAAGGGTGCTGAATGCCGTGCTGGGTGGCGAGGAGTTGGGGTGGCTGTGAGTGCTAAGACTCAGATTTTGTGAAAGGATCTGCAGGAACCATAACGGGGAGGAGAAGCTGGACTACTCCCAGCTCCTCTAAGCCCTTTAAAACAGCAGGACTAATAATCATTCCCACGAGATCTCCAGCAGAGGCAGATGCCTTGAAGCAGGGGGATGATGCACATGTTCAGATAAACTCTTGCCTGCCAGGAGAAGCATGGAGGTCAGCATTTAGCTAGCTCAAGTCAAGAGTCCTTGGAGCCTTGCTGGAGAGAGTCACAACCTCCTTTGGGTGATGGAGGGATCAGGACAAGTTCTGGTAGACCAGGTCGAAGATCTGCTTGGGTGAGATCAGCTTTGGGGGAATGGGCACTGCAGCAGCCTGGAAAAGGAGGATGGCCCACAGTATAAATCAGGGTCTTGTGGGGTTCTCAGTGTTGGGAGAAGAGCATGTAGAAGGCCCACAAGATGTGGAGGGCTTGACTTTCACCATGTGTCTGGGTCGTTTCTCTCCTTTTGTGGAGCAGGATTCTTTCCTTTTCTGACTTGGCCTTGGGCTGCTCCTTCGCCCTCTGAAGCAGCAGGATGAAAGATGTGAGCTGGAGCTTGTCCACGTGGGTGGCTGTCCATGTCCCCTCCTACTCTTTCCTTCCAAACATGGGGCTTATTCTGTAGTAGTGGCATAAGGAGCAATTTAGTAGTAGTTCTGCATTAAGGACTAGTGTGAATACTTGTTTGGTCGTAACTTGTGATTATTCCTATGTTAAGATCACAAGTCTAGAGACAGAGTTACTTGAAGTGCAGAAGAACAAAACAGAGCTGTGTGGGGAAGAGCAGGCATCGTCTGGAGCACAAGAGATGCAAGAGGTAAGAAGTTTTCCTTGGGAAAGAAACTGTTGTCTTTAGAAACATATTAAATGAGCATCTCCCTTGAGCACTCTTTGTCACCATTTTCTGTGTATTTGTAGCCTGTCAGCTCATGCCAGACAGACGGATGGATGTCTTTGGGGGAAAGCAGGAAAGGGCTGACTTTGCTGGCAATTTGTTGCTTGCCAGACAGTTGGGTCTGCCAGAGCTTGTCACATGTGGGAGATGGCCTTCCCAAGGTATCTTGGGTCAGATGGAGGCTCCAGGCCTTCAGAAGTGTGCAGCCAGCCCTGGGCATATGGTGTGGGAATCCTTCTGGCAACTTCTGAGAACTGCTTTATCCCAGCTTTGCTTTTCTAGAAGACGCATTTTCTGCGATTTGTTTCTCTTGCGCTAGAATAAATGATGTTGTGGAAGTGACTCTTCATCTTGCTTGTTCCAGATGCTGGAAAGCTGTCAGGAAACGATAGAAAAGTTGGGAAGTCAACTGGGAGAGCGGAGAGAACGGCGAAAACAACTTGCATCTGAGCTTGAACTGCTACGAGAAGATCTGAAGACTGAGAAAAAGTTATTTGGCAGCCGGGTAGGCATAGCAACTGCAGCAGGACTCTGCAGGAGGCAATTGCCTCCATAAAACATCCCCAGTTACCCCCAAGTGCGTTGCTTGATTTCTTTTGATGCATTTCTCTAGTCCAACCAGCTTCAAAGCTGCTTTGGCAGGTGGTTTTCAATCCATCTGTTTTAGTGGGACTGTCTCTAACTCTGTAATTTTTTCCTTTTAGTGAACCTAAGAGCAAACCAGTAAGTCAAAGTTTGTAGCCAAAGCCCCCTTCTCTAGAGGGCAGAGTGGAAGTTTCCAGAGATGGGTATTTATTGAAGAGTTATTTGTGACCACAAGGCTTGTGACAATGAGCCTTCGTCCCTACCTGTCACAACATGGCAGGGCACTTGTGGATTTGAGTCCAGACCTCCCTGCAGAGCAACGTCATGGTCAGCTGTTGGCGGAGATTGCTTTTCTGAGATCAATCAACTAGCTAATTCTGCATCTGTTTAATATTAAAAGTATTTATCTTAACCAGAATATGGTACAGTAAGAAAAGGGTCACAGAAATCTGTGAGCTGACTGCTGGGATCCCGGTGTTTGTTTTTGTTATGTGCTCCAACAACCTCAGTACACCTTGCTTGATGTGACTTAACTGCCGGGTGGACTTCTGGCAGGTTTTTCGCTGCTGGGAGAGTTGCTGGTGCTCTTGTCTTCCAGTCGGGCCATAGAGGAGAGAGAGTGTGTGATGCCAGCAGCACTGCATGAGGGCTGGTGCAGACATAGGCAGGGTAGGGACTGGGAATTAGGCTAAAAATTGAGGAGAGCTACAGATGTCTGGCTGGGATCAGTCAGGCACAGGGAGCCCGCTGGAGACTGGCAAAGGAGGGGGGTTTACATCATTACAAACCCCATTTTTTAGCACTCTGAGAGGCCTTAAACCAGCGGTGAGTCATATCCCTTCCTTGGATGGAGGTAAAAACCAAGGAAAATTCCTGGACTGTTGGCAAAACAGCACATATAGAACAGTCTTACTGGAGGAACAGTGGCATCTAGAGGACATGACTTGTTAGAGCTGTTAGGCAACAAATTCACATTGCAAAAGCTCAGGTTGCAGACCAAGCCTTGCTGAAGAGTTTAGGAAGGGGCTAGTCTGTGAATACACTCGTGCCAAGGAATTGTCTGATTTCTGTGAGGTGATGGAGAAAATGGGAAGAATCACTCTTTAACCTTTGCATTCCAAGTTCAATCTACTCATGGTCCAGGGACTTTTTAATCAAGATCATGCATCCCTCCAAGTTTGGCTGTAATTCAGCCACCAGTTGCCTGGTGGTTTTGTCTAAGGAGAGGACTATTTTTCCATCGAAGGCATCACTAGACAGAATCCAGTGGCCTGTGTTGGACTGTAACAGTCTTTAAAATGGAGGATTTTGCAAGTGCTTAGTGGGATTCCTGACTTCGCAAATGAGTTCGTTCCCTTTTGCTAGAGTAGCTGTACTGGGATGAATCATCTACTGACGGAGTGCTGGCAGTTAGCTTTGCAGGAAGTCGTGGGGTTCTCATGGGCGATGTGCCCCTGGGGATCAAGACCTGAGGCGGTTCAACGTTGTGTTTGTCAGGATGTCCGACACCCAGAACGGGCGAGTGAATCCAGTAGTACTTCTGCTCTTGTGAATTTTGGTGAGGTGCTGTGAACTGATGCTATGCAAAGAGCTCTCTGCATTTGTTTGGAACTCTCTTCTTTTTAAGAGTTTGTTGGATATTTGAGAGAAGAAAGCTTTCTCTGAGCTTGTAGTTAAGGGTATATTACATCCGCTAACTCCTGTTGTTCCCTCACCAGCAGTTGCCTGACTCAAAACCAGAGTTTACAAGCCATGCTAATAACTTCTCAAGTCTCCAAGGAACATCAGCAAGCAGGGGTCTTATTAATGTAAGCGACAAAAAGATAATGTTTTGTCAGATACAGAGGTGAGAAATGTAAAGAAATCCCCAGTGTTGTGGTGTCTGACGCAGACAGAAACTGCTAGCGTATGTTGCTCAAGAGTAAATAAATTCACCTTGGTGTAGATAAGAAGACCTGGAATTGAAATATTAGTGCTAGCATATATGCAGGAAGAGCTATGGATTAAAGAGCTTTAGGAATCAAAGTCGTTGCTGGCATTTAGTGGACTGAACAGCATTTTTCTTTGAAGGATTTGGGTTCATCACTGCTTAGCATGAGATATTAGACTAGGCAGATTCTGGTTCTGATCGTCTGGGAGTTCCTGTGTCCTTTAAGTACTTCTCCTGCCTTCCTTTCTTGCCCCTTTTATTTTCTTAGCATTCTCTCTCTGTGTGTCAGGTTTTGGGTCTGCCGCTGCCAGGTGATGTTGAAAGTGGAGAGCAGCAGTCCCTAGAAGGTTGTTTTGTGTTGGCTTGGATGGAGGATGCTCTCTGTGTGAGTCAGCTGAATACATTTTTCCAAGAATTGCTAGTTTTGTAAAGAAATACGGCACATGATGTGAAGCCCTGAGAACTACAGGTGGGCAACAGAAGGATGAAATCACAGAAAGAAATGTGATTTGATGGTAGTTTACACACAGCTACTTCCCAAGCAGGAAAAAAGGACTTGCTTGTGTATCTTCGAGTGTGAAGGACGACAATAATTTAGCTACAGAATCCCACACCATGTCTTGATGGAGTCCCCAGCTTGCCTTATACTGCTCAGAAGGTTTCTGTGAGACCAAAGAAAATCAGAGTCATGGTGTTTTCTGACCTTACAGGTCTCTGAAGTCCTCCAAGAAAGAGAACAGATCAACAAACTTGGGCAGAAACATCAAGATCTCTGTACAGATGAAAAGATGTACGAAGAACCGATGGCTAAAGTAGTGTTTTTGGAAGAACAGATCAAAAACTTGAGGGATGAACAAGAACTGCTCTGGTAAATGTAACAAGGCCTGTGGTACTTGTTGCTGCTTATCTTTGCTGACTAATTTTTTCAGTCTTTTAAAAATCTCCATAGTTTTGTTTCTGGCAAAAATAGGCACAGCAACTTGGTGTCTTCCTTAACGGGTGATTATCTCTCTAGACATTTTGGTGAATATGCATTTCCCGTAGTGACGTCACCATCGGTCAGGAGCAAACCTTTATTTTCTGCAGCTATTCCAGATTCTGAACAGCATAAATGAGAGCTGTTGTTAGGGAGGAGTCTTCTTCTCGTGGAGTGGGGTCGTGTTTGGACTAACACGGTCCCAAAAAGCTCCTGCCGTGGGCTGGGGCTCCATGGGGCTAACTGCTGCCAAGTGGATGATATCCATCCTGCTGTGCATTTTGGTTGTCCTTCGAGGGGGAGGGTCAGCAGGCGTCTGGACTTCCCTTCTGGAATCCCCTTTGGAGCCTCCCGAGATACTTGAGCATTGCCTTGAGTGTTTCTCTGGATTCTTGTGTCCCATGTTTTTCCTCTTCGGAGGCTGGTTTGCCTTGGATGTGTATAGTTATTTCTCTCCTTTGCTCTTTCTCCTGCAAGTTCTCAATTAGTAGAAAGCCAGAAGAAGAGGGAGGAGCTAGAAAAGCAGCTAAAAGAGAGCAACGAGGAAAAACGGTTGTTACTGGAAGAAATTGCCCAGCTACAAGACGGCCTCCTGACCACATGGGAGCAGGGCGAGAGCACGCCTGAAGAGCCTTCGAGCATGAACCACAGCGTGG